ATTGAATGGCATCAGTTGGAGTAGAAGGGATAAGGGAATGCGATAGAGATTTATGTATAAGGATGCAAGAGCCAGCGTGGGAAGTTAGTGGAAGCTAATATTGAAAATTAACCATTTAAGCCCTGTTAGAGCCATGCAACACCAATCAGAAGAAAAATTACATTTTATTTAAAACTGCTTGATTTTACTCTGATATGATGAATTTAATCAAAATTGTTAGAGCCGTTTTCGAGAAAATCGTAAAAGTGTGTTCAGTCCTTGATATAAAGTGCCACTTGCGGTTACTCGATTTTGACGAAAAAGTTGCTGTAACATCCCTAGCATATTAAAACGTTAAATATGCAATTTTAATTTCGTATGACTTTTCGTTTTTGAGCTAGACCATTTTACAGGTTATTTGGACATAGGGGATTTCCGTTCGAAAACTGAGATTATAGAAAATTTTCACGTTGGCAATACTTTCCTTTACTATATATTTCATATATCGATAAGTGGAAATAATTTCAGAAAAGTTTTTATATCTTTAAATATGTTCATTGAGAAACAAAAAAGAATTGAACTAGATTTATTTTTCCTGAGAATTGATCAAACAAAAGATTTGAGTACGATTTATTTAATAAACTAAAGCAATGTAAACTAGCTTAAGGAAGATCAGGGTAAAGATTTCAATACTCGCTAATATTGCTGATCAAAAACTTTTTGATCGACAATAGTGAAGATTGTCTGACGCGGGCAACAGATTTTCTTACTTTCACTTAGTAATCTTTATTCTCTCATTCACCTCTTTCTGACACCAGGATATGAACCCCTAATCTTACATTGGAAATTGAATAGCTGTAACTTCGTTAATAGTTGTCTAAAATGAACGATTTTTATATGGCTTTGTAGGGAATTTTAGGGAGCTCTGAAACGTATTGATCCGTCAAACCGCATATCGGAAATTTGACCCGATTGCAATACTTTCCTTACCTAGTATAGGTAGGAAAGTAATAAGTTAAAAAATGTGTAAAAAATATAATAAGCTGTATCATCGCTAATACTGGTTCGATTCTAATGATTTTTTTTGGTTTTGTTGGTAATTTAATTACCTTTCAACAAAATTTGGTTGCATAATATACACTTAGGAAGTTAGGCCCCATAACATTTTTCTTTTCTTTATAACTTTTTTTCCTGAATTTTTTCCAGAATTTAGTCTATATACGATAATTGAGAGGACAATGATTAGAACATTATAGGAAAGTTTTATCAAAATCGTTATAGCCGTTTTCGAGTTACAATCTACAGAAAAACATGTTTTTCATATATTGCGCACGGAGCACCGAATTTCTGTCACAGACATCAGTAGTCAAACCCCTACAAAATAAAAAAAAGGAGCAACAAAATCGGTTCAGTAGTTCCCGAGAAAATCTTGGCACAGACAGACAGACAGACCAATGGCTAAAAATGTGTTTTTCGGACTCAGGGGGCTCTGAAACGTATAGATCCGTCGAAAACCGCATGTCGGAAATTTGACCCAATTGCAATAGTTTCCTTACCTAGTATAGGTAGTTAAGTAAAAAACAACCGTGTGTGCTTTAGACCACATGATAAAAATTAAAACATCAACAAGGCGGAATTAATAATATGAAATGTAAATTTTCTCTGTTCTATATTTAAAAATCTGGTGCTTGCTACACACAACTTTCACTTACCGCTCTACTTTGAATAGAAATTATTTTCTGGCAATGCTGGGCTATAATGCAAATTTTGAAATCTATTTTAATCGGAGTTAAAGCTTAAAGCTTACAGATAACAAGTCAGTAGGACCATCATAATTACAAAATGTCTATTTATATCGACGGTAGACAATACAAATCTAGTCACTCCATCTGCTTTTATAAACCACACAACTTTCTTTGCTTTTATAAACCACAGAATGACTAACTCCAATTTCAACATTTTTGAGTAATGTCATTTTAGTGATATTTTTAATTGAAAAAGTTATCCATGCAGACAGTTGATTCCGGAGGAAGTGATTGCAGTGTTGAAATATAGAACTGTTAATAAAGGTATAAATTTAGCAACTAGAAACATCACTAAAATTAATAATGAAAAATGTTAAAATTGGAGTTAGTCATTCTGGAAGGACAGTAATTTGTCAGAGTCTATTGAATGCAATAGAAAATCGAATAGGAACACATAATTTCTTATTTTTATGGTTACTTAAAAAAAATAACTATATTGACTTCCACAGATTGGTTTCCATAGATGAAAATAAATACGATTTATCCAGGGGATCAAATTAAATTGTTTGTCGACGAATTATAATCCTGAAATATCGGGATGTGAAAATTTATGGAATATGAACTGTCGAGAGTCTACTTTACAATATAATATCACATAACATAAAAGAGTTAGACCACAATATTAAACTTTCCTAAAAAGACTATTTTTTTAAAACATAAGAACATATGTTTCTATTTTAAACATTACCAGAAGTGAAAACCCAAGACCTATTTTGGACAACACTAATTCTGATATAAATGCAAAATGTTCCTACTCATTATTTTATCTCCGACATGCTTCTCTGTTCTACACACTTTTAAAATAAAAAAGTAAATTATTCGTTACCAGTTCTATAGAAAAAGAAAAATTCCATCATATTACTTTCACTTATGTATATATGTAATACAGTAAAGGTAAGTATAGCGATCGAGACAATTTTTGAATCTGAGTTTTCAACGGAAATACACGTTTGTATTGAAATACATGGCCTTTGTGTCTGTGTGTTTGTATGTTAATAGTCTAGCTCAAAAACGATAAGTCCTACGAAACTGATATTACGTATTTAAGATAGGTATATGCCTTAGATGTGATAGTAACGTTTTCCTTGAAATCGGCTAACCGGAAGTGCCACTTTATTTATATTTTTAAAGAAAGGGTCATTAATAATGTTAAAATTTACTTTAAAAATAATAAGAATTTGACAGAACCTGACTAAAGTCTAAGGTTATACATAATTTTAAAGAAATTTTGAAATCATTATATTCCACATTATAGGTGGGAAAGTTTCCGTATGCATAAATAACTGTAAATCGATAGATTGGAATTCATTGATAAAATTAGCGCTGATTTTAGGAACCAATTCTTTTTGTAAATAAGTACTATTAATTCTTAAAATTCTATTTATTTGAAAACATCATGGTTTGGTGTTTTTACTCAGTTATACTTTGTTCATTTATGATGTTTATATTTAACAACGTTTAAGCTCTACAAATACTTTTGTATACTATACAGGGTATCCCGTAAGAAGAGGGAAGTATTTAAACGGTTGATAGTAGACATCAAGATCTAAAAAAGAAGATCATATAAATAAATGCCTTATTTCCAACAGAAAAGTAGTAAATTTAAGATTTGTGATTCTTTAACCGAGTCACATTTTTTTGTTGAATCGAAAGCGATACTATAAAAAATATTTGATTTAAGTAACTAAACATTTCTCCTTAGTAAACTAGACAAACTTTCCTTTAAACAAAAGTAAAATTTGCCATTGTTAAAACTATTTAAAAAGGCCTATTGGCGGACAAACACAGCTAAGTTTCATTTAAAAATATCATAAATTGTTCGTGATTTCTTTTTATCACCCTTTACCTTCGCTACATTTACCCCACTTTTACAAAAACTTCCTCGTTTAATAAGCTTTAAGTAAATATTAACTAAGTTGAGGTTATTAGGAATTTTTTTTAGATTCACCTTAAGTTGTGTAAAGAAATGATGTGATATCCTATCCAGTTACCTTAAAGTAACCGCGTTTTCTCCAAAAATGATACAAAAATAAACTATTGCAAAGCTTTTATTTCTTATTTTTTCGTGATATGGGATGTATTATAATAAAAATAACTGCATGAATACACATCTTATTTATGAATGTAAGAAAATTTAAAATAACGTTTTTTAAAAGTATTTTTACGTAAAGTGTTTATGAAATTGTGTTTTGTCCCAGATATCCGTCATAGGAAATGATATGTATTTATCAGTGACAAACTTAACGTTTCTTACTAAAATTTAGGTTTAAAATAAATAAACCTACTGATTGCTTCAATTATTTTCATGAAAACGTAAATATTTGGGCTAAAAACATTAAGTTTATCACTTATAAATACGAATCGATTCCTATGACAGAAATATGGGAGAAACACAAAATTTTATAACCACCTTACATGAAAAATCATTATTTTTAATATTGTTATATTTATAATTAAAGTGTGTGTCCTTTGGCAATTATGTCTATTACAATACATCCAATATCACTAAAAAACAAGAAAAGCTTTATCAAACAAGGAAGTTTTCTTGTAAATGGGATAACTGTAGTACAGTTTAGTAAAAACAGTAAGTGTAGTAGTATAGTTTAAGGTTGATAAAAAAAAATCACAAATAATTTATGAATTTTTTTTAAACGGAACTTGACTGTTTGTCCGCCCAATAGTATTCTTTAAATATCTTTAACAATGACAAACTCTTCTTTCGTTAAAAGTAAATTTTGTCTAGTTTTCTATCGAGCAATATTTAGTTACTTAAATGAAATATTTTTGAAGTTGTGGCTTCCTATTCAACAGAAAACGTGACTCGCCTTAAAAAACACAAATCTTAAATTTCCTGCTGAAAATTGGGTAATTATTTATACTAACTTTTTTGTAGATCTTGATGTCTACTATCAACCTTTTAAATATTTCTCTCTATTTGCGGGACTTCCTGTACACTAATGTAAATAAATGGTTTAAGATCTTTTTAAATTTAAAAATTGTATTTTAAGATATATTTCGTCCTAAATTTAGTCCTTCAGATCCGAGCCCTAATGATAGATAATCAACGATAATCGGGCTGTGTGAAAAAGCTGCAAGAATAAGTTTGGATATGGAGCGTAAATCCTGTATTGAGGAGAGACACCTGGTTTCATCATCCTGTGGGCAGAACGGGCGACCAGTTAGTTTGGAATATTTTATAAAACATTTCATAAATACCTCTTTCAGTTCCTTTTCTATTTCTGCAGCCCTGATAACGAGAGGTCCTCGGACTGCATATTCCATAGCCTTTATATAAGGATTCATACTTTTTAAGGTAAGACGTTTCGAACAAGACATGTTTGGCAGCTTCTTGTTGATGATAGAGCACCGAGACTTACTTGGGACAGATGGGTTCTGGTAACACCTGGTAACAGTCCCTTATCTAACGATAAAGCCAACTGCTTCAGGCTGTTCATAAACGTGTGACTTTTTTTTGCTAAAACAGCCAAACTTCAAATCTTCAATATTGAAGAGACAACCCACTTGAATTTTCAAACACCACAGCATGCAAAAATATCGTCTCTGCCTGCATAGATTTCTTCACAAAAATGAGAAAACCAATGAAATTTTCAAATTCTGTAGTGATAACATACATTTATCTAAAGAGAACAGAAATCTATAAAGGCATTAATATAAGCAAATTTGTTCGAATATTAATAACTCTAATGAATTCTATTTTGAAAGGAAAAATCTACAGAATGGTTTTGTCGAAAACCTCTTCTTTAAATATTTTTTTAGTTGCAGAATAGAAAATTCTAAATACACGACTTCTTGCATTTATTTCTTTGTTTCAGTGATATACCATATTTATCACTACTACGGAAGTAACAACAATGGCATTGATTATATCATGATGCATGGGATGAATATGTACACCATTTAAATCCCTGTTAAATTTTTATTTGACATCCAGATTCCAGATTTTTAACTCTCGTACTCGTCGAAGACATTAAAACTTAAATTTTGAAAAAAAAATCCAAATTTAAAAAGTCATAAAACACTAAGGATATATTTAGTAAGAATAATATTTATTCTGGCTAATCTAGCATTAACCCATCAAATAAGAGGAAAGTAGTTTATAGTATTCCTCAATGAATACTAATATAGAAGGTTTGAAAAGGGAATTATTTCTTTAATTTGATGTTGTATTTCAGGTCAGTTATCGTCATATTAGAAGGAGGAATATTAAAATAATATTTTTACTGTAAATAATAACATAATATATTACCTAAATGGTTATTTAATAACATGGTTATTGAATTGTTGATGAAGCTATAAAGGCGGAATTCCACTGAGGTAATTTTGAGGCAACATGTAGCATGCGGCATTGTGCGTCAATTTTCTAATCCATAGTATGCTAACAGCTCATGCTGATGCGGATTAATAAAGGTCTGTTACTGATACTGAATTAATAAACGCTAGTTGGCAGAGAAAAACGTCCTAAATCATAATTTTTACTTCCACTTAACTATATACGCAATAAATAGTAAGGATAAGTATGACGATAGTGAACATTTTTGAGTGTGAATTTTCAACAGAAATACATGTTTTGAAGTCTCCTGAGTCCAAATAACCAAATCCCGGAAAATGGTCCGTGTGTGTGTATGCATGTTATCAGTCTAGTTCAAAAACGAAGTCGTATGAAAGTGAACTTACATATATAAGGTTCATATAAGATTTCGATGTTACAGCAACATTTTCGTCAACATAGACAAACAGAAAGTGGTACTTTATATAACCGATTTAAATTTTTTTTACGATTTTCTCAAAAATGGCCGTAACGATCTTGATTAAACTAAGTATATCAGTGTATTATTAAGCAGTTTTTAATGTAATGTAGGTTTTCTTCTCATTGATGTTTTCTATCAGTGCTTAAATGGCTAATTTTCAAAATTGGCTTCCCCTAAAGTACCTTTGTTTTTTTGTTTGAAATAATTAACCATTTCACATTAATCTTCGATATTAGAAATTGTTCAATATAAAATATGAAAGAATTTGATAATTAACTAAAGGAGAAATAAGAGATCGTAACGGAGAATAGTTGTAATTGAGGAACCAAAGGAATACGAGCTTCCCCGAGCTCGCCTGAAAGATTACAACAGGCTTCCATACGTAACATGAGCTTCATATAATACGGACTTCGACAATATTTTGTTCATATACATATAAGGTTTTCATAAATGATACCATTCGTATTTTTTAATAATTAATTGTATTAAATACAGCGATATAAAAATTAAAATTTGTATACTGGGTGTTTCGGAGTTAAGTGACCAAACTGCAAAAATGAACTAAGAACCTCAAAACAAGAAAAAAATTACCTCTGAAGGTATAACCGCAAACGCTTTGTTTAGGAGATATTCACACCTAAAGATTTTCGTTGTTATGAATTATTTACGTTAAATGAAATAAATAAACCCTATTTATTTATTCTAACTACTTTATTAATTAAATGTAAACATTAACATTCATATTAAATGTTGTTAAAAATGAAGGTATGTCCGCAAACGCTTTGTTGAGGAGATGGATTAGATAGAATACTAATATGGCCTTTCATCCCTACCTAGATAAAAACTATTGGCAATATAAGGATTAATACTATTTGGAATGAGCATTAGGGACTTTCAATAACATTTATCAGTTTGTAAAAGGCTTTCGCAGAGTACTGATCATTATGCCTTCCATTTATAATTATGGTGAATATGCCGATATGGAATTTATATACGGTTTTTGCAATGGTAATGATAATGCTGCCCCTCATGAATATGCCAGGTGATTTCCGAACAAAAGATTACCAAACAAGTCTATCTTTAGATCCACGTTTCAATGTCTTACAGGAACTGGTACATTTGCTATAATACAACGTGCTGATGGTATTTTTACGAAATGAAGAAAGGATTTTTTCTTGTTTTGAAGTCCGTAATTTATATTTTCAGTTTGGCTACTTAACCCTGGAACACCCTGTATATAAGGGTAATTAAATAAATAAAAATACCCACAACGAATTTAAATAAATTGCTATGTATTGAACATAGCAAATATGATTTTAAAATTGTTATGAGATGCCGAAAACAAAGTTGGAATATGCTGAAACCAAACACATCCAGGTACCTGCCTGGAACATACTAGGGCCGAGGACCCTGGGGAAGGCCTGTACTCAGAGTAATTGGTAACTAGTAACGGGTTAAGTAACTGGTTCTAGTAACTGATGGCCAGTTAAAATAATTGTACATCCGTTACATAAGTTCTGAACCAATAAAAACCATCCTTGCCTCACCCTGAATATTTGTATAAAATCTCCCAACAAGTCAGAAAAGGGGTCTTATGTTTTTTTCCGGCCTTGGGGACTGAAGATGCAGCTTGGCCCCACATAGATCGTGGATGGACGTCTTGGATTTTGGACCTGAACTTGGCGAGGCGACCTCGGATCAGCGGACGCAGTGATGAAACCTACTAACTACACCACTTCATATACAATAGCTAAGTTTTAATCCCAATAATAAATTTACCATGAATATGTTAGAATATTTCATGGCAATACAACTCTCAAAACGGTCCATCTGAAATCACAGCTATCGATTAAATTAATTGAATTCTGTATTTAGTTTCTTGTAAATATAATTTGTACATATAGTTTATTAAACATAAGAATAAAATAAGTTTTTTAATATATGTTATTTTAATTCTGTCATCTATTTATATCATGATGATCACAGGTAATATTGGTAATTAGAAGCATGATAAACACAAACCAGCCTTTGAGAAATGAAATTCAATTAATTAACCTTGGATCCCCTTGTATATTGTAGATCCAACTTTGTTTAACTAACCTTTTATTATTAATTTTGAATTAAATAATTCTGGATAATTATCCAGTGGTATTCCGAATAAATTTCAAGTTCCCAAAACATAGCAAAATAGAGCGTCAATAATTTTTATTTACACTTTCCCTTTGTCTAATAATACTTATTTCTGCTAAGAAGATGGTGGAAAGTAAAAGTCGTGTGATGCGCCGATTTTTGTATTACCATAAGTGGCCACAGAATTTTCAAAAACTGTTAATAGTTGTTATTCCAATTAGCCGAAGCAGCATTTCTTGAACTGGCTGATTTAATTTTACTATGCAATATTCTCATTCTTATTGATTTACACTGCTATAATTAAACAAATATATAAATCATATCGAATAAAGTTTTATTTATATGTTATAAGTTTAATGATAATTTCAGTTTTTTTTTATTTATTTACTTTTATTATTTTCGTCCTCCCCTTCTTCGCCTTTTAGGCTATATAGGGATTTTCCCGAGCCAGGGGGGAAGGGCAGGATCTAGTAGAACAAAAACAACTTCCAAAATATGAGAGCGCCTTCTGAAGCACAAAAGAGACCTAAGCTCATGACAGGTTGCATGGACTGGGACGCATATAGAGACCATTTGAAAAACAACATTTCTGTCCCAGGTTCAATTAAAAATCAAGGGGAACTAGAAGAAGCCGTTGAAACTTTTACAAAAAGTATACAAGATGCAGCATGGTCCTCATCAACATCTAGGTCACAAAGAGCAGTGAACTTGCCCCATTATCCAATGTACATAAGGGACTTAATCAGGGCAAAGAGAAGAGCTCGTAAAGTGTGGCAGACTAATAGACTTCCTTCAGACAGACAAACTTTTAACAGATTGAATAACGAACTTAAAAGACATATTAAAAAATTCAAAAGCACAAACTACGACCATTTTATTAACAACCTTTCGACGGACGATGGAAGTTTATGGAGACACACAAGGAATCTTTTAAAGCATCGTGAGGTGTCAGCACCCCTACGAAGAGAGGATGGTTCTTGGGCTGTTTCGGACGAAGAAAGATCTGAACTCTTTGCTACTCATCTTTTCTCGGTTTTTAAATAACATACGGACTTCGTTACTACAGAACATGATATTTTTGTACAAAATAACTTAGACATACCAATACAGCTCACACTACCACCACCTCCTTTCACACCATCACAAATTGCACAAGAAATTAGACAATTACCGAAAAGAAAAACCCCTGGTCATGACTTGATAAATGCTGAGGCGCTCCAGCAAATGCCAAGGAAAGCTCTAGTGTTTCTCACCACAATCTTCAATTGCATTCTTAGGACCACAAAATTTCCAATACAGTGGAAATACTCTCATATAACCATGATTAAAAAGCCAGACAAAGAAACTAACAATCCTTCTTCATATAGACCGATTAGTTTGCTTCCAGTGTGTTCTAAATTATTTGAAAAACTATTATACTCACGACTATTACATATA